GATCTATTGTTTTGATTTCATTCTTTGTTCTTTGTCTTCTAGTTTATGCATAGTTAGTAGCGTGTAGCGGATCTTTCTGGAAGCGTGTCTTCCCATTTCCGGCTTCTGCTTCCATGGTTACCTTGCTAACAACCTTTTGTTTACACTTCTCTGCTTTCATTTCAGTTCCTTGCTACGGGGAAAAAGGTAGGTACTGGCAAGTTACTGTATGAGAACCTTACTTTTGTAGGCTCAAACGCCCTTTTAAATGGTGATTCTTTAGAACGAGCTCTATCAGATCCGTTTCGCGAATACCAATTCTCGTTTTACTATTCTACTATTCTAATACTATTCTTGTTTTGACAGTGTATTTAACTCATTTTCAAAGAGTGCATTATCAATTGCCTCTCGGTTCTATTCCAACATTTTTCCAGATTCTATTTGCTAGATGATGTAATATGATGGACAATGTTTCCTTTTAAGAGTCATTATCAGATTAGCTTTGATTTTTCGCGAGTTTGCGAGTAAGCTTGTTTATTGACAATGAACATGTAATAGCTTTGGATCCCGAGTGAAATTTCATAAACATTTTCCCTCTTGAGCATGTACCTCCTCAAGTTCCGCCACTGACCGGATGAAACTGAGTTCAATGATACTAAGATCTCATGATTTAAGCGATAGGCTTAAGAAATCTTGGCTCATTTAATGAAAAAGTTTGCTTGTGTATATCAATTTGTGATTTAATCTTCTTAACATGCCATAACAGATTTACAATTCATCTGGACCGAAACACTCTCGTCGCTTCAAATTTAATTTGACCTTTCGTTCAGTATTTTTTACTCAATTTCCTGGTAAAATTTACTTACGCATCTTTGAGTCGAGATCATAAACAAATATCCGTGAGTCCAACCGCAGATGCTGCTTAATAATCGTCTTTAATTATGAGGGTGACAGTATTGAGTGTTCAAAAACAATTGATGCAAAAGATGTAATCATTTCTAACCCAACTTTGATTTGAGTTAGAGAGTGTTACGGCGTTCCAAACCAGGCGCAAAGTATTCTAACGGCTGGTTTGCTCATTTAATGGTTGACTATTTTTTCGCCCTCAGTTATCTACGTGGTTGGCAAAGAAAGCCCTCGCACACAATTAACTTCAAAAGCAAACTGTTCAGGCATTATGTTAAATAAAGGAATAAATTACCACCTGTGGAGGAAAATTATTCCTTTGCGGTTACACGGTGTTATTTATGGCCCGAGTATACGCGATAATCGAGCGTGCGCTCATTAAGATATAAGAAGGAACCATTCTAATAGTTGGTATCTCTGATAGATGAGCTGTTTTGGAAGGCGTCGCAGGAACCGCGTAGGTAATACAGAGGTATGTGTTCTTAATTCTTTTCTTTCCTTAAGCAGGCTCGATATTTTTTCAGAATTTTGTATTCCACATCGATGAAAACAGACACAACCTACTCTTTTATTTGTTTTGGTTCTTTGTTTGCTTTATTTGTTTGTTTGTTTAATCATTACTTTTTCGAACCTTCTTTTTGCTTTTACGCTTCTGCGGGGCTGTTGTGTAAACAAATTTATTCTTGATTTTTTAGGTGTTTTTGAAACCCGCAAAAATCCAGAAAAATATCATTTATCAACTCTGGAGCCCTGTCAGCCAGAGCAATACTGGGCTTTTAGAGAGGGTTCCAAACAATGACAAAGTAGCCTGCGGTGGAAGTTTTAGCAGGGAGGGGGGGGAGGGGGGTAGTAAATAATTCTGTTTATTTAAAGAGTAACGTGAGCCGCAATTCAGGCCAAAAGTCCATGACACAAAAAGCGTAGCAATGTTACTGTATGCATCTTTGACATTTCTTGCCACATACCTCTTATCTGATGATAATCATATTAATTGATATTTACTCCAGAAATACCAAATACCAAAGAAATAATAATTTGGGGGGCTTTGAGAAACCTTGTCTAGAGTTTTGCATATTTAGCTTGAAAATGGTCATTTTGATACTCAGAGCTCTCTTCTAGGGGGATAAATATGATGGGCATGTGCTATAGCATTGACGGCAATCATTCAAATAATTATGTTATGTTGTGTTTTGTTGTGTTCAGTTCGGCTCTGTTATGTTATTTTGAGTTGTATTGTTGTTTTGCTGTGTTGTATAGTGTCGTGTTGAGTCGAGCTGAGTTAATTTGTTATATTCCTACTGTCGTGTTGTTGTGTTCAGCTGTGTTGTTTTCTTTCGTATAGTGTTGATTTTCTGTTCTGTTTTGTTGCTACATTTTATTGAATTTTTTTAGTAGCATCAATCTCTTATTTCCACCCCCCCTCCCCCCTCACAAAGACAAAGTCTCTCGCAAACATCAATGAATTGTCACGTTCAGTGGAAAATTGTAAAATTTACTATTTAAAAGAAAAATGGACACTGAATTGTACATTAAGATCTTAATTGTGCAAGCTAATTTCCTTCATTGTTTTTTTGCTTGTTTTACTCTTTTTTTTTTTGGCTTCAGTGAAAGAAGGAACCTATGGAATTGTGAATGGAATTGTGAACGGTTTGCCCATAATGGTTTAAATCACCTATGTGCAACTGATTTTCGTCAGATGTTAGCCTTATTCAAGGAAGGCTTCAGAAATTTTAGTGCCAGCTATAAGGATATGATTCAGTAAATAAAAAAATAATACCAGAAAGATCATAGTTAAGTGCTTTATTGATCTTAAAATATGAAGAGATTTTATAAATTAGGTGCGTTTTATCTGCATAAGTACCTGAATCCTTTGCTTATTCCTTTTCAATCGCCAGATAAAATATTGTAATCCCAGAACCCAGAACATTTGCCTGGTTCTGCGAACAGTTTTTTATGTTTAAATTGATGACAGATTTCAGATTTTAGATTCAAACTCTGTTTAATCCGTTCATTGTCCAAATGTTCTCATGGCATATACAGTTAGAAAAGGGAATAACGATAATAGCTTTCTTTTTTACATTTTTTAAAGTAACATTCATGAAAAATTTTCAACGCCCCAAAATTTATTATTTGGGTACTTCAGTCCTTTTTCTGCAACACTGAGAGCACTGATTTCCCTCTTTTCAACAACTTGTTTTCGTTTTTTGTTTGTTTGTTTGGTCTGTTTTTTCTTGTTTTTGTTTCCCTTTTTGGGGGGGGGAGGGAGGGAGGGCGTTGACGGTTGAGGGCTTATTTTATTTTGTTGTTGTTGTTTTTTTATTTGGTATCTTTGTTTGTTTTAATCTTTTTTTAATCCTGGCACTCGTTTGAAGCGATATAGCGGTGTTTCCGTGATCAAGCGTTTGACTAAGAAAAATATAAAAGTAAAATAAAAATACATATAGGTTGATTCTTAAAAAACAGCCAAGTGCTCCTTCCAACACATCATCTACAAGGAATGCTAATCCGTCTCAGGTTTTCCCTTTCGTTTCGTGGTTCTCTGAAAGGAAACAAGAACCTGGAGAGTTTACTATAAGAATATAAGAAGGTCTGAGGTTGAATTCCTTATGGAGACCATCTCTCTCTCAACTCGATTTTGCTCTACTGTTCTAATGTAATCTTTAAATTTTTAGACTCCAGGAATGGTCAACATCCATGTGACATACAATGATACAAAGAGAATCATTTCCTATCAGAAAGGGGGAGATGTTCAGGGACTCATCTCTGAGATCTTGCAACGATTCCCCGACGTTTTACCTGCCAATGTTATTCCAAAACAAGTAAAGCTACAACGCTATGATAAAACATTTGAAGATCTCACAGAATGTGAAAAGGAACTCAAGTTTGATGATGACCACAAAGTTACCGTGCTCATTAAGGAGGTACAGGTGCGTTGTGCGTTGTTTCTGATTCTTATAGCCTTTAGTGTTATTGTTTATAAATTAATTAGAAAACTAATTAATCCGTGGAACTTCGATCATAATCTCTAGAGCTCGAATACTGGTGATTTTGAGATTTAGCGCGTTAAGGCTTTAACGTGGGTTCAGAAGGTTTCGCCTTATTGCAAGTTCGCTCTCTACAAAGACAAGTTTCACAGCAAATCCATGACAAAGCTCTATGGACAAACAAATTCTTTACCATGTTGAGCAATGACAACATGCACATCTTGTGTTTTAATCCTGGCACTTGTTTGAAGTAGAGTGTTTCACAGCGATGTAGGGTGTTTCCGTGATTAAGCGTTTGACTCAGAAAAAAGTAAGTAAAATAGAAGTACCTGTAGGTTGATTCTTAAAAAACAGCCAAGTTCTCCTTTACTGCAGAAGCCTAGAACACATCATCTAGATGGAATGCTAGGGGTTTAGGCAGTGAACTTGCAGTTGCTTAAGGATTTTTAAGACACTTAGTTTAATGAGTTTTGTATTGTTTGTATTGCTTTGTTTGGTTTAGGTCTGTTTTGTTTCGTTTTTAGTTTTGTTTAGTTTAGTTCAGTTTTGTTTAGCTTACTTAGTTTTGTTTTCATTTGTTTTGTTTTGTTTAGTTTTCTTTCCTTTCCTTTCTTTTCCTTTTGTTTCTTTTCGTTTCCTTTCCTTCCGTTTCCGTTTCGTTTTGTTTCGTTCGTTTTTCCCTACATTAAGCCAAGTCAGTCACATCTCTATGATAGAATGCAGTTTAAACATCAAAGCAAACCGAAAGGCATGGTAAGAACAAAGTGTCTTACCGAATAACTTGACAAAATGACCCTTTTGATCAACCCGCGGCTCCTTCTCGAAGAAAAAAAATTCATTCTCGCCTCTCCCCACCAACGCAGCCATGCAATAAGTATAGGTAAGAAAATGATTTCGAGAGAACTTGGTGTCAATAAGCACGAGTAAATTTTTCAGAGACAACAAAATATCACGAGCCCGTAGGGCAAGTGAAATTTGTAGTCTTTGGAAAGTTTACAAGTGTTTATCACACAAATAGCAAGAGAAATCATGTTATATTTTGTTAATAATGAGCAGGAAAAATACATCAAAGGAAGTCAATACAGACGAAACAAACTCCTGCTATAGCTTTGTACTCGTATTACTTGAGAACGCACTCGTTTTCAGCCAATTAGAAGCGCGTTATTTTTTTTCATGTACATTATTAAGGAAAAAATGAGCATATCCCGCATCGTGATACTTTGCTGATTATATCTGCTACCTTTTCAGGTTAAAGAGAAAGAGGGACCAACACCACTTTATAAGTCAATTTCGGAAGACCAACATAAAATTACTGCGCGTAATAGTGAGCCAGCTACGTTGAGTAACGGTTTTTTAAGGGACTTGACCGAGGAGAAAATATCGTATTTCAAGTTCCATGGACTTACGGTTGGTTCTACTTCCTTCATAAGCCAAATTCTTCGCTACTAAAAAAGGAAATCGTCATAATCCCCACCAACTATTTTTAATTCCACGTTCAATCGCCACAGAATACATACAGGTCTCAATTAAATTTTTCTCTTGTGTCTAATTATGGAGTGTTAATTCAATGCCATTCATAAAAGACAAAATAAAAATACATATAGATTGGATTCTTGAAAAACAGCCGAGTGCTCCTTTATTGCGAGAGCCTGGAACACATCATCTAGATGGAATGCCAGTCCATCACAGGTCATCCCTTTCATTTCGTGGTTCTCTGAAAGGAGAGAAGCACCTGGAGGGTCTTCCATCGTTATACTTTGCTGATTATATCTGCTACCTTTTCAGGATAAAGAGAAAGAGGGACGAACATCACCCCGTATACTAAGAGAAGGAGAAACTCTTGCCAGTTCATCGGAATTGACCCGGGTGTTACCATCGCATATTCAGCCCGGTAGTATTACACCCGGTTCTACTTTTCGGTTTTGGAGCGCAGTTAGCAACAAAAATGGTGGTGTTATGAGGAGGAGTACCAGAGAAAACAAAGTGATTTGCGATGGAACTTTTGAGGAGCCTGATAATAATAAGGATAGTAAGTACAGTTTTGTTATTTATATATAAAATGCAGTGATTTAAACAATAGACTTGATGGGCGTGAATATAAGCTTTAGCAACATCGGCGTCTCGAAACTGTTTGAGCCGATGAGGAGAGCATGATGGATGGGAAGTTTATCTCCCATCTTTCATAGAAGCTCTTTCTAATAACAATAAAAATTTACCTTGGCAAGGATTTTCAGTCATTGTAGCAAATGAAGTTTATACGTTTTATGCAATTTCCTGTTAGTTGATGATCACTTTGGCGGAAGTTCGCACCCGTCGTTTTTGAAGGAGACAGTTAAGCCGCTTTCATGCATAGGAATTTTCACCTTTTCTGTACTTAAATGTCTTCTGATTAATTCTAAAACTCAACAAAATATCGAACGAAGTCCATTAATATGCAACTCAAACTTACAAAACACTGTACATCATGAATGACCTTCGACCTCTACCTCTAACGAGGATATTGAGCTCTGAACTATGGGATAGAAACCGTTGTTACATAAGTTTTTATGAGGTGTATTCCAGGACGGTCTCTTTCCTTCGATATTTCCGCATTACTGAAGTCAATAATGATAACTGCTTCTCCTTAAATCTTTAACATAGCTCATATACAGGCCAGTGATGTGGATGAGAAGCCAATAGATGAAAGCAATGCTGTGGTCCTTTTATTCACGGACACAAACGGGAAGTATGCAATGAAAGGAGTTGAACTCGGACAAGAAATCCAAACCGAAGTAAGGAGTTATCTCATTCATACAATTCAACATTCATTCATCCATTTTAGCCGTTAACCATTCATTTATCCATTCATAATTAATTTTCCCCACTCATTCACTCATTAATGAATTCATTCAGTCAGTCATTCGATCAGTCTGTCATTCATTGCGTCAGATATTCAGTCGCCCCAACATGTATCTTATTCGAAATTAAGAGATCCTCGCAGCTCATAACACTACTGAAACGAGTATGGTTTATTGGGACCCAACACATAGACCAGCTCCCAGTTGGCTTGTTAGCTCAGTTGGTAGAGCGCTGCACCTGTATCGCAGAGGTCATGGGTTCAAATCCCGTACCAGCCTGAATTTTTTCCAGGTTCTATTTTCAACTACTCGTTTCGTAGTGTTCTTAGCTGCGAGGATCTCTTAATTTCGTTTCTTCACCACAGTGCTAATATATGAATTTCATATATCTAAAATCATCATGTATCTTATTATTCACTCAAATATTTATGTTTGACTCCATTGATCGTTTTAATTGCGTAATCAAAATTATTTCTAATTCAAAGATACTTTCGTCTTCGCCTCTTGACATAAACTGTTTGTTTGCGCCTGCCTATTACTGGGGCTTCACGATGCTCAAACACGTCAAAACCGGCTACTATGTGGGATGCGACTACACTGGAAAAACGACTTTGGTGAGAAATTTAAAGCCCAACTATCCTAACCCTGAGATTCTATTCATCGTCAATGCACTTAACCTGATTTAAACAGTGGAAGAATGTTGGGTATTCTGATTACTATTTGACTATTTTGATCGGCCTAAGACAATTTTTCTTAATTAGACTGGTGTGAAGCATAAACGCATAATCACGTTTTCCGTAGCAAATATATATATATCTGATAAATATTAATCAAGAGGCAGCAGCTCACGTTCACCTGCTTTGATAACGTTTTATCTTTCGTCAATTTCTCCATGCCATACTCGATTTTGTTATTGAAATGATATAACCATTAAGACATAAGAATTCCACATAAGGAGATCTAGCACTAAAATATTAGATGAGACTACGGTCTACGTTCGTTAATCTGTTTTTAATCAAGTGCACTCTTATTACAAATAAAATTCAAGGAATTGTTACTTCTGGCCTGTTTGAAAGGCAGTTGGTGATCATGACGAATCAATCGATTGGTCGCTTGAACTCTCAACACTTGGTTATTTTTTTCAGTATTAAAACAACCACAGGCGGCCCAAGCTTACGTCTCGAGAAAAAGTAAACGATCAATCCATGAAAGCGTCACGCGTTGTGTTACTCGGTGCTAAGTTACGAGAGGAATCGTTGAGAATTTGAATACGCTATAAAGAATAGTGTGGGGAACGAAATATGGTCGAAGACGAAGACCAAGTCTTCTTTTTATTACAGGAATATCAGTGATAGCAAATCAAGCTTAAAACGTCAGAAATCGCCAGAAACCACAGCGGACACACGAGATGTGAGAAAGTTTTAATGATTTTACGTGTAAAATGTTCATATTTCGAAATGTTTATCATTGTAAATCAACAATATTTCGTTCCCCACATTATTCCTTATAACGTGTTCAAATTCTCAACGGTTGCTCTCGCAACTTAACATAGAGTCACACAACGCGTGACGCTTTCATGAATTAATCGTTTTCTTTCTCTCGAGACTTGAGCTTGGGCTGCTTGTGAAACAACTTGTGGGCAGATTCTCTAATGAGGAATAGAGTGTGGCCCTGTCTTTATGTTGATACTGGTACCCAATGCGTCTCCGAATCTGGGAGAACCGTGACACGAACTAACGTCCAGTCTAAGCCTGAAGCTAATTCAAAATTTGTCTTAGTGCAGTAAACGTACAAATAACACCCTTAAAAACATCTGAGGTTCAATAGTTATCAGTTAGAAACAAACTTTACAAGGCATTCATTAATCATCCGGCAAAATAACAGCTGCTTTTCGCGAATATGGGGAACTCCGACGTCTTCCAGAACAAAAAATGTATCTTTGACAATAACGTTCCTTATCACACTTATTTTGTGTATGGTGCAGGTATGTAGATTGTTTTGTAAGCATTTATTTTCATGTCTATATGTGTTAAGTTTAAAAAAACACCAAGTGATCAAACTCTAAATAGTGTTGGGCCGCCTGCCAGGAAAACACTATCCCAAGCAGTTTTGTAACTAGAGGAATTAATAAACTTAAAAATTTCTGAAGCTAATGGTGCTTTTAATTTATCCCCTTAAAGACTCGATCCCTAATTCTTCTGCCGTCCTATCATACAAAATTATAATAAAACAATTCTCTTACCGTTCCTGGAATCTTGTGAAACGCCTATTCAAGCATTCGTGACTTCAGCAGATGCAAAGCACACAATCCTAAAATGCCAGCTAAAAAATTGTTCTGCAAAAAGAAAAAAAAGGGTGATTGTGACTTGCATAGAGAATTTTCAAAATAACCGAAGAAAGCAAAACAAGAGGGTCTTTCCAGGCCACTTTGTTGATGTTCTAGCAATAACACAAACTCATTTTAAGGCGGCTTTCCTCTCTATTAATCAGACTTTCAAACGGAAACTGCTAAAAGATCTTGCCTACACTCGTTTGAAGATATGGAAAAAGCTAAATTTCAGGTTGTGTGAGAAGAGGGATGAGTAGTTGGTGCTGCAGTAGAACTTCATAGTTACGATTAAAAAAACTTTCAATATTGCTAAAGCCGTACTGTGGTTGCAACCTTGTTCCCAGGGTCTCTCTCCTTCCCTTCATTTAGAGCGAGAGAGAGAGACCCTGGGAACGAGGTTGCTGCGGTTGTAGGATTCTCGAATTCTCACAGTTGTTAGTAGTAAAGTAGTTTTAGGTAAGTGGTCATTAAGTGTCAGGAATTGCTTCATTATTTTGATTAAGGCAAGCAATAAAGAAACTAAATCAGAAAAACGTCCAAAATTGAATATCCTTACCTCCCCTAGGCAACAGACTCGCAAGAAGCTTCTTCCCTCCTTTATTAAGCTTGGAGGTAAAGGAAAAGCTGTAGTTTTATTAACTTGATCACAATTTTAGGAGACCCTGCTTAAAATTGTTAAAAAATAATCTTTAAGTGAACGTGAAGCGTATAAAAGTCGACGAAAAGATTTAAGACAGTAGTAGGGTTGTAGTAAAAACATCATCGTCGGCGGAAATTTCCCAAACTCGTTTTCTGATCATCTCCCTCCCTCCATTCCCCTCACTCGCCCCTCCCCCCCAACTGAGCGTAGGAGAGCGGGGGGATGGGGAAAGGGGAAATTCGAGAAACTTCCTTCAGCAGCTCAGGATCAAAATACGCTTCTGAGAAAAAGGCCGGAAAGTCTTAATATTTGTCGTACTAAAATGGAACATATCTGGACCCTTCCCAGTTTCTTCCAGGTCAGCTTAACGGAAAGGAGTTTATTGAGACGACGTGGGACGACGTAGGTGAGTTTTAAGCGTTTTTTTTCTTACATCTAAGAAGAGGGTAATACAATTTCATCTCCTGCCAACCCAGGTCAAGGAATTTTAGCTGTGATTCAATCACAAAATTGCAAAGCGAATAATACAACGATGATCCAACTTGAGATGTAAGATAGTAGAGATCTTCGATTATATTTATCTGCATTATATATCTTATGTATTGTGCGGATAGGACAACCAACAGAGAGACGCAAACTTAGCTCTCTGCTCAAACTCTTCTGGACTTTAGGTAACACTCAACTCAAGCTCTACCTAAATCGTCCAAGTCTTTCCTACGTCATGTTAAGGCAGTTGTAGAAGGTTAGATAAATGGACGAAAATAGTGCCAAGGAATCGAACAACGCATACGTTAATTGTTAGTGAAGCAGAAATCCTCCCTTTTAGCAAAACAAGAATTCAAGTACTTCCTAATACAGCAAGATCAAAATGCATGTTAGTGACATGAAAACTTTTAACGAGTACTTCGTTTGACAAAGTTGGTATTAACACACCATCAGTGGACAAAGGCCTTGGATGATGGACTACAGGTGGATGTTGTGTTCTTAGATTTTTCTAAGGCATTTGACAGAGTATCACACGATATACTCCTTCTGAAGTTGTGTAATTTCGGCATCTCTGGTAGCCTACTAAGATGGTGCGAGGATTATTTGACCCACAGAGAGCAAAGGGTTGTTATTGAGGGACAGAGTTCTGCCTGGTCTGTCATCCCATCCGGTGTACCACAGGGCTCCCTACTAGGGCCATTATTTTTTGTAATATTCATTAGTGATTTGCCTAATGTGGTTATGCCTGGAAACACAATCGCACTGTACGCAGATGATTGTAAAACATCAAGACTGATAAACTGTACATCAGACCAACATGATTTTCAATCTGACCTGAATAATCTACACATCTGGAGTCAGCGAAATCTAATGGATTTTAATGTAAAGAAATGCAAACTGATGCGTATCACGAAAAAAAGTATGCCTTTTCGTTCTGACCTTAAGCTGAATGAGAGCTCTCTGGAAGAAACATCTGAATTCTGTGATCTTGGATTAGTTACTAGTAACAAGTTGTCCTGGAATGCTCATGTTGATAAGATATCAAGCAAGGCTAACAAGATTCTTGGCCTTATTAAAAGGACATGCAAGGGTATGAAAGATGTTAACACGTTAAGAAGGTTGTACTGTGCTTTGGTAAGGTCCCAATTGGAATACTGTACTATTGTCTGGTCACCCTTCACGGCTAGAAACATTAACAGATTGGAAAGGATTCAGCGAAGAGCCACCAAGTTTATTCTAAAAACTGATGATGATTACAACACTCGTAAAGAACAACTGAACCTGTTATCTCTAGAGGACAGACGCTTCTTTTTTGATGTACTATTTTTTTATAGAGTTCTTAATGGGTATATTAATATAGATATATCCTCTTATATCCAATTTTATTCGCATTCGGAAAGATACTCGTTGAGGGGTAAGGACGAACTTAAATTAAAAAAGAACTACGCGAGGACTAATACTTTTAAGTTTTGCTATTTTAATAGGATTGTCCACATGTGGAATGGGCTGCCACTATCGGTCCGTCAGGCTCCAAGTGTTTCTTGTTTTAAAAGGGGTGTAAGGGATTACTTGACTGCAAGATCTGATTGATTTTAGTTTGGATTTGTTTTTTTTTTTTGTTAAAGGTGGTCTGCCGTGCATGGGGATTTATCTCTTTTGCGGACCATCCTTATGGCACCTTTCCTTTTACTCTTTTGTATTATTATCTATTAATGTAAGTATGTAAGTAAGTAGTAAGTTATATGTGCCATTAAATTGTAATAAATAAAAAATAAAACAAATGTCTTCTATCTTGCGATTTATAGCTTGACTTGACGCAATCAAATTTGTAGCGTCATGCACACTGAATGAAATGGTCCAACAGTCTGCCTAGGCACTGCTACAAAAATATGCAGATCGAATTTTTTTTGATCGACCAAAATATTTTGTCGGGTCAGTTCAATTGGGCTAAGTTCAGCGATCAAACCCGAATAATTATGAATTAAATGGCGTCTGAGCACAATATTTTAGAAGCTTGTTCAATATTTATCAATAAGAGTTTCAAACTCTTTAATCAAAATAAATGTAAATTATAAAAATAAACGCACATATCACGGAGGCGATGCTGACGTGACATTAGCGTCCAAACATTTACCATCGGCATTGAACTTCCTTTTCGGCAATTCAGGATTTAATGAAAAGGGAAATGATGATTTAACTAGAAAATTTTCTCTTGGTTGATACCTCATTGAGTTCTCGTTGCAGTCGCCGTTTTGAGTATGCGTAAGATTTGTTTATTGTGTCGCGAAAAAACTAGCATGTTTGCTTTTTGCATATTGGTTACTTTTTAATCGCTGAATATGAAAAGCGTTTATCTGCCCGCTTCTAAGCAAACAAAGTTGGGTTTCAAGTTCTCGTAGATCGATGTATAGAATTAAACAGGTTAAAATGATCATAGGTAGATTACGGTGAAGAAGGATGGTGCTTTTCTCGATTGAGTTACATTAATTATAGCTTTCAGGCCAGCCTCAGTACAGGTATGCTTAGGACAAGGACAGATCTAGAGGAGTGTTTTCACCTAAACCCGTCTGGGGCGTAGCTAGAGGGGAGGGTCCAGGGGTGCCCCTGAACCCCTTTTGAAAGCCTTTTTTGTCACACCAAGTAAAACACGGCATGGGGGTCGACATAACAGTTTGGCGAGTACTCTCTGATTGACAAAGTGTGACCTACCCTTTAAAAAATGCTGCTACTCGATTACAATGTAGGCACTATACTTTCTTAAAATAACAATACACTTCGCTGTAAAATATGGAGTTATGTATATCAGCATGAGTCCTATATGTTTCCATTTTTATCACTGTCTTCGATATTTTAAAGGCATGACTATTTACAAATAAGAATACTAAATTGAATAAACATTTTGTTGCAGAAGATGCTATGTAATCCAGTGAAGCAAAACACTACAAGTTGCTCTCGAAACAAATTTAGAGCCTAAAAAGCCAAACTGTGGAGAAAATATCAGACATGAAAAAAAAGACTGCATCTCGTCTGGCCCTTTCTTTCTTTCACCCTCACCTCACAACTTTTGTGTATATATTGACATATCATCAACATATCTGGTCACGCGAGAATTGGTCAAAACGAACTGACATTACAACTAACAGCTTTAAAATTTCGACGATTAAGTTATCCAGTGAGGTGATTTTTTAGGGAAGAGGCAGCGGATGACCGTTGTGGAAACGTGAATAAAAAAAAACTAAGAGCGATTAAGGAGATGCCTTTACAGTTTAGGTTTCGAAACTGGTTGCCTTGCCAGCAACTTTTGTTTACACTTCTTCGTTCCCTCATTTCACTTCCTCACAACAGGGAGAAGGTGTTCGTTTCACGGTAAGTACTAACAAGTTGCTGTATGATGGTAAACTTAACCTAAGAAATCTTGGTTCATTTGATGAAAAAGTTTGCTCGTGTGTTTCAATTTTTTGATTTAATCTTCTTAACATGCCTCGGAGAATACCGTACAGCCTGACTCACAGATTTATAATTCTGTAATCGTTTTAATTTAATGTGGCCTTTCGTTCAGTTTTTTTGTACTCAATTTCCTAAAAACATTTACTTACGAGTCGAGATCATAAACAAATATGCGTGAGTCCAACCTCAGATGAGGGTGACAGTATTGAGTGTTCAAAAGCAATTGATGCAAAAGATGCAGTCATTTCTAACCCAACTTTGATTTGAGTCTGAGTGTTACGGCGTTCCAAACCAGGCGCAAAGTATTCTAACGGCTGGTTTGCACATTTAATGGTTGACTATTTTTTCGCTCTCAGTTATCTACGTGATTGGCAAAGAAAGCCCTCGCACACAATTAACTTCAAAAGCAAACTGTTCAGGCATTATGTTAAATAAAGGAATAAATTACCACCTGTGGAGGAAAATTATTCCTTTGCGGTTACACGGTGTTATTTATGGCCCGAGTAGGTATACACGATAATCGAGCGTGCGCTCATTAAGATATAAGAAGGAACCATTCTAATAGTTGGTATCTCTGATAGATGAATTGTTTTGGAAGGCGTCAGAACGGGAACCGCGTAGGTAATGCAGAGGTATGTGTTCTTAATTCTTTTCTTTCCTTAAGCAGGCTCGATATTTTTTCAGTATCTGCAGAATTTTGTATTCCACATTGATGAAAACAGACACAACCTACTCTTTTATTTGTTTTGGTTCTTTGTTTGCTTTATTTGTTTGTTTGTTTAATCATTACTTTTTCGAACCTTGTTTTTGCTTTTACGCTTCTACGGGACTGTTGTGTAAACAAATTTATTCTTGATTTTTTAGGTGTTTTTGAAACCCGCAAAAATCCAGAAAAATATCATTCATCAACTCTGGAGCCCTGTCAGCCAGAGCAATACTGGGCTTTTAGAGAGGGTTCCAAACACTGACAAAGTGGCATGCAGTGGAAGTTTTAGCAGGGAGGGGGGGAGGGGGGTAGTACATAATTCTGTTCATTTAAAGAGTAACGTGAGCGGCAATTCAGGCAAGAAGTCCATGAAACAAAAAGCGCAGCAATGTTACTGTATGCATCTTTGACATTTCTTGCCACATCCCCCTTATCGGATGATAAACATATAGCATATAGAAAAAACAAAATATCTCGCAAACATATATAGATTGTCACTTATAGTTGCAAATTGTGAAATTAGCTATCTAGTATAAATGTGTTCATATATATTCATGTATATACCTTATATATATATATATATTTATATAGATATCTAATATAACTAACTGCAGACAGTACTGTTTCGGTCTTCTGGGCCTTATCAGTACAGTACTGATACTTGAGTGGAGGTAAGGCTATATAGCCACCCCAAGTGATCTCACACATGTGGGATCATCTAAGCCATGCCAGAGTGCTCAAACTAGAAAAACTAGTGAGCATGCGCAATGCTAGCAGCAATGACTCATCCTAGTAGAGTGCTCAATTTGGACATGAAAGCAAAGCTTTGTATGCCAAAGAGCTATATCTAACTGCAGACAGTACTAATCTAATATATATATTCATATATGTTTTCATATATATTCATATATGTTTTCATATATATTCATATATATATATATATATATATATATATTCATATATATATACATATATATATATATATATATATATATATATATATATAATTAGTTATTTACTTATTTTTTCATTTTAGGTGAACCCTATCCAAGTAAATACCACGTATCAAATCTGGAGCCCTGTCAGCCGGAGCAATGCCGGGCTTTTAGAGAGGGTTTCAAACACAGACAGAGTGGCCTGCAGTGGAAGTTTTAACACGGGGGAAAACAGTACGTACATAATTCTGTTCATTTAGAGAATAACGTGGGCCGCAATTCAGGCCAGACTTCCCTGACACAAAAAGCGCAGCAATGTTACGAGGGTCTTGAACCGCTAGCCGTAAAATGGCCAAAAATTTAGCTGTTAGACGTAAAAATTGACAAATTTTAACCGTTAGTCGTAAAAAAGTTAACCTTAAAAACATATCTGGTAGAAGCAACGGAAGGGTGCTAACCGTTAGCCGGAAATTGGCCAAAATTTTAACCGTTAGCCGTAAAAGCCATCACCCCATTGAGACCTTCTGTTAACGTTAAATCGTGAGCCCCCAAAATAAAAAAATAGACATTGCTCAATTTGTTACGCTAGATTTGCGTAACATTTCCAATTTGTTGCGCTAGATTTGCGTCAATTTCCCGTTTGTAGGTGTTTGTTTTTGCTGTTAATACCCCAATTTGAACATAATCTGCACAGTAAACGTGCAGTAAATTATTAGTTGAACTTTTTCATCTTGTTAAATCCCTGATGAAGTTTGTGTGATCAGACGAAACCGGTCGGATAATAAACTAAGTTGACAAGATCTGTTGCTATGTGCTGCTCACTAGTTTTTATTTAAAAAAATTTAAAAATTGTCAATTGTTACTTTTTCTTTTTTTTTTTCTTGGTTTTGAGAAACCATGTTTAGAGTTAAGCTTCTGTAGCTTTAAAATGATTATTCTGAAGCAAAACGCCACTAATTCATCCAAAAACTACGAAACATGAAACATTTGATCCACTGAATTTGATACTCAAAGCTATCTTCTGGGGGAATGAATATAATGCGCATGTACAATTGCAGTAACGGAAATAATTCAAATAATCATGTTGCGTTCGGTTTGGCTTTGTATGTGTTGTTGAGTTGTGCTGTTTTTGTTGTTTTGCTGTGTTGTATAGTGTCGTGTTGAGTTGAGCTGAGTTATTTTTATCTACTGTCGTGTTCTCGGGTTTAGCTGTGTTGTTTTTCTGTTTTCTTTTGTTGCTATGCGTTATTAATTTTTTTAAGTGGTAGTCATCCTCCCTCCCCTAAATATCTCGCAAACATCGATGAATTGCCACTTTCAGTCGAAAACTGTGAACTTTACTATTTAAAATAAAAATACCACTGAATTTTACATTGAGATGCTAAAACTGATGACAGGAAAAAGACTTAGAGGTTTTTCATTGACCACTGCAGGTTAAAACATTTCAGATTTTAGATTTAAACTCTCCTAAATTCATTCTTTGCCCAAATTTTCTTATGGCATATGCACCTAGAAAGGTTAATTACGATAATAGCTGTCACATGTTTTCAAAGCAACATTCATGATATATAAATTTTCATCCCAAAAAATTCATTATTTGGGTACTTCAGTCCTTTTTTGCAACACTGTGAGCAAAAAGTATTGAGGTCATTGCTGGAGCACTAGATAGGCAGGCATGTTTAATAACATTAAAAGTTAGCGTTGTTGCGTTAGGATTCTCGGTCGTGTAGCATTACTCTGTTAAGGATATGGTTTCCTCCACAGTTGTTGTTGGCTGAACTTTAAAAATTTCGTTTTCTTACGTTGTAAACATAGTTTATTGGACAACCAACGATAAGACGAAGATAAACTGCCACAAGTGTTTTGCCTTCGTATTCAACCACGCAGGAGAACAATACGCATTGAAAGGAAATAAAGAACGAAGAACAATCACAACCGAAGTACGAAAAACATCATTTTCTGATCTAGTGCTAATTAGTCCATTTGTTCAATGAGTCATCTATCTACTTATTCACCCTAATTTAATATCCCTTATCATTCTAAACAGCATATGGCAGTTTGCGGCCCTTTCCCCACATCTAGACAGTTTGGAAAGCCGCAAAACATATGACCAAAACTTTATCTTCCAAATCGGCACCCTTAATCCCCACGGTATCAACGAGCGCTTTTCATTCAACTAATTTATTCTTGTTTTCTCGTCACCATATTCCCACCAATGGCGTTGCTCCCTTTTCTGCATATAAACCTACACACAACCCACAATTCCTCCAATCGCTCTGACGAAGGGGTAACGCTCGAAACGTCAGCCTTTAAACTCTTTACGGTTGCCAATTTACGTTTTCAACGAAGTTGTTAACATTAAATCACCAGTTATACTCTCTCACCGACGCAGCACCACAGGCTCTATAGAAACTTACCTCCTTTATTTATTCACCGGCCCGTTCACCTCGTAATCCATTGATTTTTTCGTTTGTTTATTCACTTGTTTGTTGGCTCTTTCCGACATTCTTTAGTTTTTCTTTTCCTCCATGTCTTGATCTCATTTGCCAGTTTCTACATAAGTATTCATTAGATTTATTACTGAAGCAGCAGAGGCACATGATAAATTATTTTCCAAGTCAAAAGGCTCCTAAACAATCGATTGGAAAGTTGGACTATCCAACATTGAGGTGAATCATACAATACCTTTACAGTTCTTGTAGTGGGAGACTACAATATAATTTCCATAGGTTGGTATTAATTTTAATTCAAATCTGCCTTCAATTTTTAAGGTTAAGGAAAATATTCATGACGAGAGCGACATTTTTCAGGTTATATCCATCGAGGGAGGGATCTTCTCGTTGATAAAACTCTATGGTAGCAAACTCTACTTGGCATGCGACCAAGATGGCAATGTAACTTTAGTTGAAGATAAGTATCCGGAGAATCCCAGCCCTCAAATTCTTTTCAGCTTTGGCAAAGTAGGTGTAGTCAGTGACAACTGAAGTTTCATGGCTGTTTTCTCTGTTGAGTCAGCTTCTATGGACGAAGCTATGGACGGTTTTCTTAATTCCAGCATTGTAAGGCTTAGAGATATATATTGTGTAACAGGTAGATATCTGACATAAGGAACCTTAAGCAGTCAGGACGGCAACGCCAAGGAAGACTTTGATTAAAATATAAATTTCTACCCGTAATTAGAATTTCAAAAATGGCTGCGTGTGTTTACCGTCTCATACCGCGCCACACCTCAACTTCAGCATAACGTATCAAATATTAAAGAAGCGTTGAGTTCCAAATAGAAATTAAAATAATTTGCCGTTGCGGTTTCGGTTCGCAGACGACGCAAATTGTGGTGATTTCACGTTGTTGTTTTGTATAGGACGGCTCAGAAATGTACAAACGCACGTGCTGAGCTGTATCTTTTGTTTTCCATGTCCTCGTTGCCGTCGCCGTCGTGGTTTGCAGAAGGTGAACCGCCACTGCATGTTTTTTGGCCTTGATTGGTTTTATTTTTCATTATTGTCTTTATGGTATACTCATACTCATTATAGAATTGATATTATTATGTATTCAACTCACTATCTCTTTTCTAATTGGCCGAAAGTGTTCAATGAATTTTCGAAATCAGCGCCTAGGACGTCATCTACCTGCAGATTTTACAATAGGGACCTTAAGCAGTCAGGACGGCAACGCCAGTGAAGACTTCAATTAAAAAATGAATTTCTGCCGTTAATTAGAATTTAAAAAAAAACTGAATGTGTTCACCGTCTCATACGGCGCCACACCTCAACTTCAGCATAACGTATAAAAGAAGCGTTGAGTCCCAAATGGAAATTAAAATATGTACCGTCGCGGTTTCGGTTTGCAGACGACGCAATTTGTGATGATTTCACGTTGTTGTTTTGCATGGGACGGCTATGAAATGTACAAAATTTTCAAACGCGCGTGCTGAGCTATTGTTTTGTTAATTAAATCTATTGTTTTTCCATGTCCTCGTTGCCGTCGCCGTCGTGGTTTGCTTAAGGTCCCTAATAACATGTCAAGGTCACTCAAGGTCATGGGTAATCATGTCATGTAAGACCGCGGTGCGTGATTTCGAAGGGCAGTCATATCAACTTCGCGCGCTTTGAGTTGCTAGCCGTCAGTGGAAAAGCAAAAACATGACTTTCAGGTTTGCTTTTTTGACCGAGCATGACTTCGAAAAAATAGTAGTATTTCGCTTTTTATAACTGTAGAGTTCTCTTCAGTTAAACTTAATTATGGCTATTTATTTTCTAAACCAGCTTTTATTCAATTTTTCACATATTGTCTAAAGCTTAGAATTTCTTGTCAGTCGAATTATATGCCGCTGATTTGAACGTTTTTACACGTTTAGAAATAAACTATCAATTCCACTTATTGCCTTGACCATTGTTTTTTTTTTCGTTCAAAGTACAGTAAAACAATTATTAAATGAGGTTTTTGTGATATCCAGAATAAACAAGAACTCGCTAGGGATATCAGTCATAACCCCTACCTCGACCTTGATTATTCTGGATATCACAAAAACCTCGCCCAATAATTGTCTAAAATCCGACCAAATAGTGACTCATAAAAACACACAAGTTTTTCACATGGTAAATAAACTAATCAAGGTGTGTGTTTTGTGAGTGAATGATAGTCGAATTCACAGGGTCATTAAGATTGCTTGGGATGACATCGCCGTTGAACTCGGCTGCTGTGAATGATGTGGCCTTCTACTCAAAAAATCGGAAAGGATATCAAAGCAAGCTCTTAGTTGTTCACTAAGGGGGGGGGGGCATGTAATTGCTGAGGCTTGACAGCTTTAGCTCAGTTCCACGTTTTGTACTCTGATAGAGCACACAATTTTGTACTTTGATAGAGCGCGCTCTTTCAACCAATGGCAGCGCGCGCTAGATCCGAACTTTATTGTAAGAAAGTGTAAGTTCGACTTTTAAAAAGTCGACCTAATTCACAAGTGCAACGGCCACATTGAGAGAGGAACGAAACCGTTAAGGACGAAGGGCTAACGTTCGAAAAGTCAGCTTTAAAACTCTTTACGGTAGCCAATCAACGTTATCAACTGAGGTTGATAATACTTCATTACCTTGTTATACTCTCCTACCCACGCAGCACCACAGTTTCTTCAGAAACTTACCCCCTTTAATCATTAAGGAGAGGGATCGTTATAGGGAGATAGCAGTGTAATGCAACACATGATTGCATGGGTTAGGGTGAGATTAACAGTAAATCAAAATTTTAAGAATATGCCATTGCGTACATTTTCTTCTTTTCAAAGTGTGGCACGACTATCCTTTTCGGACAAATAAAACTGAGGTAAATTACAATTTTTCGCTGAATAAATTTAATGTTGGAAAAGGTTCTCTGCAATCTATTAGGATCAACCACTTAGAATTGTCCCTTCCATCTAGTCTTCTAACACGAAGAAGGAAAGACGGAATGGAACTTCCATTACCAATGACATATTTGCCTTTGGACTGAATCCTCCCGGTTAATCAGAAGCAGAAAAGACTCTAAGTTAGCAACAGTGAATGAAGATCGTCAACTTAAAGCGATCATTAAGAACTATTTCTCGGCGATGTACAGATTGCAGGCAGAGGAGTCAGGTAACTTTACGCTTAGCCGCATCTGAAGGGGTAGGGGGGGCAGACGTAACGAAGGACTCAATTTCATCATATCTGATGGTTTTGGTCTGTAATTTTTTTCTTTTCAACCCAGACTTAAGTTTAAGATTCTTCCAGGTTGTGCAGTTCTCTCCTGGCCGAATGAATTGCCTTCAATGATATATCCTTCCACATCAGAGATGATCGCGACCCGAGCTCTGATGAATATGGAATTGTTTGGGTTAAAAGTCGAAACAAATCTAACTGAAATATCCATTATTTACAGAGATCCAAGCTTTCAATATCACTTATGGGTGATAAAGATATGAATAAAAATTCACAAGCAGGAAGTGACCGTTCAGTCAACTTCCTCTATTTATTATTAACCCTTTAACGCCCAAGATCAGATTGGTAATTCTCCCCTCTATCTGTTACACGTATCCTTGTGAGTTAGTTATGAGAATTTAACAAATAGATTCCAAGTTGCCGTGCGTCTGTTCAGTAATAGATCACAGATGACGTCAAAATGTGGTAAGAACAAAAAAGTGGCACACGAGGCGCAGCCGAGTGTGTCACTGACGTCCTCTGTGATCTATTACTGAACAGATGCACGGCAACTTGGAATCTATTTGTTTTATATAATAAAGAATTTTAAAAAGTTTTAATGATGACGTCATCTATACGTCTGTCCTCCAATAGATCATAAGTGAGAACCAATCAAAACGCGTGCATAACTGAGCTTATCATATAAATGGTGTTAGATCAAGATAACAACTTCAACCTGATAAGTTTGAATATTCCCATAAGCTGTTTGGTGGATAATGTAAGGATATATAATAGGGAGAAGTTTCATGTTGATCACTTCTGGGAGTCAAAATTTACAATAGCCGATCATCCAAGACCACAGCACAAGTACATTTTGGTTTAAGATTATTAAAACAGTCGATGACCACAAAATAGGGATCACCATATTCGGAAAATTAATACTTGGAAGTCCTTTTACTTGGAAGTTACGTTGAAGACCGAAACGTCTCCAAGAATTCGTTATTCACCTATTAAAAAAAAATTTAAGTTATAATACCTTATTCAGCATTATTAACTATGTATAAGGTCGGTTGCGCTCCATAATCGAGGCAGGAAGACTTAGCCTAATATTCTGTGCTGATCAATATTGGATAAAAAGGAAATTTTATTGAGAAACTGCGTTAAAATATCTGCAAGCAAAGATGACACCACAATAAGGAACCTTTTGCGGTTGCAAGTTGTTTGTTGACTTCTAACAGTTTTTGAAAATGTCACGCTGGCGTTTTTACTACCGAAGTAGTAACTAACAATTTTTTTTCCAAGGGCAATTTTTTAGGATGGCCACATCGAAAGAGTATTTCGAGAAATCTCAGGAATGCGCCATTTGCCTGTAAAAAGTGCCTAGAGAGACTGGTGACTAGAGTTGACCGAGGTGTCTACGAGATCACGTGCCCGAAATGCAAGCGAAAGAGCGCGGTATGCAGAAACTTCTTTATGATATCATTGGCTTTTGGAAGGCGAAGACTAAAAGTTATTAGAAGCTGCTAATGATAAATACCAAGAGTCTCAATGATTTTGAATGTCGATGTCATTTCTGCAATAATGTGCTCAAGCTCAATCAAAAATCTGAAAGAAAAAATAGTGTAAAGCCTACCAGAATAACTGGACTGATTTTTTTGTATATTTTAACCTCTTTGTTTTAGATGTAGCTTGTGTTAGCAAAAACTATTTAAAAAATAGGGAGTTTTTTGTACGTTTCTGGATACTTTTAATACTCTTAATACTTTTGGTAATTGTGTTAGTTTTATTCCGTATTTGTCATTAGATTTGAGACTTCTTTTTAAGATAATGATCACACATCTAGTTGCATAATAATGATCACACATCTAGTAGTCAAGTCTAATCTCGTAACCAGATTTTTCTTACAACCTCTTGGCCGTAGAGGTCTTGGTACGAGACTATGTCGAGGCAAGACAACAGATGTAACGGCAACTAGCAAGACCGAGTCACGCTGTAATAGTACTTACCGTGAATTCCAGGAGCTAACAAAGCATTTAAAACACTCTTCTTCCAACTTATAGATGCTATTGTGGTAACTTTTGGGGAACCACTTTGGATACAACAGTTACAGCGTGGTTGAAATTATCGAGTATGGGGTATTTTCCTCGGCTTCTTGAATGTCGCAGACAGAGATTTCTTGTGTGCGGGGTCATCTTTGGATTGTTTTGCGTCGCCTGGATCTATATTAATGTGCAAGGGCAGACTACAATCGAAAACGTTTCTGGTGATGTAAAACCTTCGTTTCTCGGTCATCATGGAGTATCCGAGAATGAGCGAAGAATATGGCGGAAAAAATTCTTCGCCGGTGTAAAGAAAATTCTGGGTCAATTCAAGGAAAATCGAAGCCACCCGAGGGAGGGCCACGAAAATGACATAAAGCTATCAGAACTCAAACGTATTCGTAGTCATCCAAGGAAGAGTTTTGAAGTTGCAGCACACAATGGTTTGTTTCACTTTTTTGAACCTGGGTCATGTGACGCTATTTCCCCAGAGATGGTGCTGTATAACAGGATATTTAAGACAGGCAGTGAGACGGTGGGAACACTATTTCAGTTTGTGGCAACAGTGATGGATTATGACTATGCCAAGAGTAAGTTGTCCTTTCGATTATGTGCGCTAATTGTACGTGTAGCTTAAAGGGGGGTTTCCCAAGAGAGTTGGGTTGTGTTACATTTAACCTCTCTTGATGTGACATAGTGGGAATAGAGACAAAAAGAGATTTAATTCGTAACCTGGTGATCGGCCAATTTTCCGATTCCGTACTTGTTTTAGGCGGTAATCACGTGATTCGATTGCTGTTCGGAAAAAATAATTTCGAGTGATTTTTTTCAGCAAAATTAGACGAGCCCTCAGTACGCGTGCTGTTTGAGAAGTTTACGAATGGCTATGCGCGGAAATTTGATAGCAGAAGAGGGTTACTTATTCCAAATCACGAGAAAGATTATGTGGATACTTATTACTGAAGTAGGCGAATCACGTGCAAAAATGATTTATTTAAACTTATTTTATTTGTCGTAGACAACTACCTTCAATCAAAACAACAGTTTTTTTTTGTTAGGTCCAAAGTCCAATTTTCACACTTTATGGACTGATTATCACACCTCTACTCTCTAAGACCCTGTAACCTGAATTTTGTGTTCTCTAAGCTAATGAGAATGGAGAAGACTTTTTCTCTTGTATATAATCAACTGAAAAACCTCTCTGTGGATCGTGATAGGTGTGAACTGCGTGATATTTTTTTTCCGAGACTCGTGAAATGGAAAAATATCATTCATGACCTCACCGCGTGACAGCCCTGTTACTTCCGGTTCGACGATGGAAGAGCTTGACGTTCCTTTTAGACAGAGGTCATGTTGTGACTGGTTTTCTTCACAGCCGTTAGGTTTTCTCGTCACACAACGCACTCTATCCTTCCCCCTCTCCCTTTTTTGATTGGGTGAAAAATCGTAGATGCTAAGGCGAGTTTAAATGAGAAAAAGTGTCGCGTTTTTCGATAAATTGTGAGTTGTTTCATCTGACTAGAACTAAATTAAGGACAATTATTGAGCCCTCCCACTCAGTCAATAAGTAGTCTGTGTCTGGAAGGAGGCGATGTTGTGGCGAGTAATTTAGTGTTAACAACTGAGTTGAAAACGT